TAAGTTAGCCACAAGATTAGATATTGTGGCTCAGGAGTCATGCAGCCAGACGACTAAACTGGCTGAACTAGTTCTGTGATCTTGCCCAGTAACTGAAAGTAGCAAGAACACCCTGCCTCAAGCACCTATAATTTCATCCCCAAACCAACCAATCAGCATTCCCCACTCCCTAGCCCCTGCCCACCAAATTATTCTTTAAAAACCCCAGCCTCCAAATTTCTGGGGAAACTTATTTGAGTAATAAAACTTCAATCTCCCATTTAGTCAGCCCTGTGTATATTAAATTCTTTCTCTATTGCAACAATGCTGTCTCAATAAACTGACTCTACCTGTGCAGCAGGCAAGAAAAATCCATGGGGCAGTTACAGGAAAATGGTCTTCCCCTTAAGAAGCCTGGTAAAGTATTCGGGAGTGATATGCCATGATGTTTGCAACTTTCTTTCAAATGGACCAGGAAAAATACCCAGGAGAGAATGGAGGGAGGAAAGGAAAGAGGAAGCATGAGAAAGGAGGAATAAAAGGCAAAGAAAGGGAGAAGCAGAGAAAGCAAGTATCAAAAAATGTTAATTAAATCATTAATTAATCTAGGTGAAGAGTATACAGGCACACACAGTACTATTCATTCCACTTTTCTACAGGTTTGAAAATACATAAAATTAAAAAGTCTAAGAGAAATGTGTCAAGAAAAAACCCTCTTTGATAAGTCCTTTGAGTTTAAGAAATCACCGTGATATGTAGATGTTCACAACTTTCTTTGTGCTCATCCAACACAATTTAAAATATTTTAGGATGAGAAGATGGTTCAAGTGATACGAGAAGGTACTACACATGACTGCAAATTGCTTTTCTACTTTAACAATACAGACAGACATATCTTTAAGTCACAGCTGCATAGTATTTTACAGTAATAATGCACTGTAATTTATTCAGTCATTCATCCATTTAGTGGACAGTGGTTGGTCAGCATTTTGGCTACTACAAACAATGTTGCTTAAATGTCATGGTGAACATGCTGATAATTCAATCTTTTAACTCCATAGGAAAGATTCACAAAAGATGAACAGCTGGGTCAAAGGGTATGTACTTTTATTTTAACATCTAACACCAGATTATTTCCCCAAAATACTATAACAAGTGATACTGCAAAGATGCCTGAGTGTGCCCATCCCCTTTAGTTCACCTACACAGGACATTTTCAGTCTTTTTAAAACTCATGCCACTCTGGGGATCATTTGAAGACAGAACAAAGTGAGGTACTCTCAACAGAGACACAGAGACACCTATGAGTCCTAAAGCAGTACTCATCATTACTTTCAAAGGACCAAAAGAGAAGGAAGTAAAGAAAGATACGCTAGTCTCTTCCTTAAACTCCCACTATACTTTTCCAATACCCTATTGTGGCACCTGCTAAGTTATATTAATATTATACTTATCTGTTCATATGTTTTCCATATAAAGTATATTAGTAACTCCTTGAAATTAGGGATAGTATCACTTGCTCACTCCTTCACTCATTCAACAAACATTTATTAATCACCTAGCATGTGTCAGATACTGCTAAGCACTAGTAATATGCATGCAAACAAGATAAAGATCATCAGTGCCCTCATGTGCCTAATAGTCTTACAAGATAACCCAACATTGCACAGTTAGTTACACAATTAATATTTTAATTTTGCAGTTACAGTAAATGCTCTGGAGAAGTATTCAAACAGGGTGCAATGAAAGCATATAATCTCAGCATGCAGTATTAGAAATTACCTAAAATGGTCTTTCAGTATTGTTTATCTATGGTTTATTAAATTTCATATTACTAAGGGATGGACAATGTGATTTATAACACATGATTTTTATTCTTATTTTTATTTTTTTTGAGACAGTCTTACTTTGTCACTCAGGCTATAGTGCAGTGGCGAAATCCCAGCTCACTGCAACCTCCATCCCCTGAGTTCAAGCTATTCTTCTGCCTCAGTCTCCTGAGTAGCTGGGACTACAGGCACCCGCCACCATGGCTGGCTAAGTTTTGTATTTTTAGTAGAGATGGGGTTTGCCATGTTGGCCAGGCTGGTCTTGAGCTCGTGACCTCAAGTGATCCGCCTGCCTCAGTCTCCCAAAGTGCTGGAATTACAGGTGTGAGCCACTGCACCTGGCCTTGATTTTTAAATATGTGGTTTTATAAGTATGAGGAGAGAGGAAGAAAGGATAGGAACTAAAGTTATTAAAAAAACATATAAGCCAATGTGGTGCCAAGCCCTTTTTTATACTTAACCTCAGTTAATCCTCACTACTAATTTATAAGGCAGAGACTATCACTCCATTTTTCAAATGTGGAGTATGAGATTCAAAAAGACAAGTCATTTGACAAAAATCACATAATTATTAAATGGTATCAGGACAGGGCTATGAGCCCAGCTTTGTCTGGTTTCTGTCTACTACATCACAGTAATTCAAAGATAAGATTTCAGACTAAGCCTGGAAAAATCTACCTATACAATGCAATACATTTTTGACATGTGCTACACACAAAATAAGGAAAATAATGGCAAGCCTACTTTGTATTTTAGTCACTTAAAACCTGTAGTAACTGGTGAACATATATATATATATGGTATAGTAAGCAAATTAGTGAAAAAATGTTCATTTAAATATAAAATATGAAAGGGTATTCATGTAAATATGAAAGAATACTCCTTTCAGAAGCCAGATGAAATAAATAACTTCTAGTTGCGACCAAAACCAATCTAATATTTTGACAAAAGGCCCAGATGCCATGCCACCATGTCGTATTATATCAAAGTTTAATAGAGATGAGTTCTGACAAAATATTCTTATTCAGACTCTCAAATTCATGCTCAAGCACATTAGAGTAAAATCTAAATTAACCAAAATCTAATATTTCAATTACCACAATAAAAATGCACAGATAAAAAGGGAGAAAATTCCCATAGAATATGTTTACAAATACTGTAGTCCTCCAGGAATAATCTTCCCAAGTAATGTATTTATGTCTATCTAAACTCATATTTATAGATAAACATAGATAAAACTCACATGAACTGGACGTGTGTCCCAAATATGCACTGAAGTCCTGTCTATAGCAATATTACTTCTTTAAGAAAAAAGACCCTCTCCTCAAGGCCTTAGTAACCAATGTGTACTGGTTATACACAGAAATACATATGTTGGGTATATAGAGAAAATACGTATTTTTACTTAAAACAGTGGAAATAGCAAAGTTATGAAGTAAGAAAATACTCCATAATCAAAGTTAGAAAAAAGAAAATAGAAAATGAGTTAGAAAGAATGTGAAGGGGATTTTTCCAATTTTTAGATGCTCTGGATATTAATGTTGCTGATTTTCTTTTTAAATTCTACCTAGAGTCACTTGAAAGCTTATTACTTTTCTTTAGTTCACAAGGACAAATCACTAGCACACAATATTTATTAGAATCTCCAGCACTTGTTAACTAACAAATGGAAAGAAAAAAGGATAAAGCTAAAAGAGCAGGGAAGAGGCTGAGGCAGGAGAACTGCTTCAACCCAGCAGACGGAGGCTGCAGTGAGCCGAGATTGCACCACTGCACTCCAGCCTGGGCAACAGAGTGAGACTCTGTTTCAAAAACAAAAAAAAGGCGTGGATTGTGGAGAATGGGAAGGGAGACATCTTCCTGATCTAACAAGGGAAAAATTGGAAGAAAAAAGTAAGGGCAAGTGTGGATTACATAATGTAATTCAATATTATTAGATGAAAATAAGCAGGGAAAGGTAGATGTACAAATATAGTCACTAATTACCCTGGGCACTACTGTACAGTTGTACAAACTGTTCACTGCACACAGGCACTGAGTCAGGGAGGTAAAGGAAAGGTCTGACGTGCTCCTTTGCTCAGCTGGGCTTCCTTTATTTTCAGAGCAGGACGTGCCCTGAAAATAAACTACTTTTTCTTTTTCACACAAACTTCCAGTCCATTTGCTAGGTACCTAAAAGTTGCATCTACTGGAAAAAGAGGACTTTCAAAACCTGCATAAAAGTTCCATGTGGTCCTAAAGGGGACCGTGCAGTCTTACTCTACTACTATCGTACCACTTCAGCCTCCAAATCTAACCTCCCCACCCACTGCTACATACAGTGAGCCATTAGAAAAGGGCAAAACTATACAGAAGCCAATCTTCCCCATGGAATGCTCTCAGACCACATTATTCATTCTTAATTCAAGGGGAACTTATATTTTACACTTTAAGTTTGTTATTAAAGTCTGTTATTCCAAAGATAATTGATGTTGCACTAAAGTCATGTTTTCATTATTAATGGAAAGCTGCTGATAAAATTTAGAATGTAATTTAACTTCTTAAGGGGTATAAACATAACTGTACTTTGATTATGTTAGCGTAATGGCTGCTTCTAATTCATTTATCACTATACATGCTAAAGGCTGGTAGGCTTGCATTTTGTCAGGTATTAGAACTACCATATAGGTAAATGAGGTAACAAAACTGCATTTCCTGGAAGACAGTCTGTAATTTGCTCTAATCTCAGAAGCAAATGGCTATTCCCTCTTTCCCCAAATTAGTCAACTGTAGGTCACTACACTTTCTATCACTATACATTTCAAGTTTTCTACTTTAAAACAAAAGACTCCACAGACAATGATCTGGCAAAACTGCTCTCAAACTACACTGGTCAATGGTTCTTTACTTTGAAGGCTCTCATGTCACAACCAATACATAATTGTATCCACAAAATATTAGATGCTCATCTAGGAAAGATCAAATGTTGTAAGTTGAATAACCTAAGAAGTAGATGTAGAGTATAGGGCTACCAAGGAAAATGAAACCCCTATACTTAGTATAGTGGTTTGATTGATTTGAGCTTTTCTTATTTCTCTTTAAGCACACAGTAGGCAAATGTGTCACGCATGTTCTCGCTGGTAAACCATCAGGCTGTCTTCTGGAACTGGCCACCATATATAATAACCAAGGAGTATAAATCTTTGTCTTTACCTCGAATAACATAGTTATCCAGTGCATCTTCCATTCTCTTCAGTGCCTCAGTTCTATCAGAGCCATATGTGATTAGCTAAAAATAAGCAAACAAAAAACCCCAACATACATTTAGATCTAGGTTAAATGATTCATTTTAGTAAAAATTAAAATATTTCATAACAGATTTCCAAATATATCTTGCAATTTTATGATAGTTCAGTTTTCAATGTCAATTATGACTTTTTAAGCATATAAATACTAGAATCAAGCTATTTTAGACTTTTCTCCTACATTTCATTATCATAGTAAACAGTGGTTTTACAAAAACAAAAATGTAACAGAAGTAACTATAGAAAAAATTTAAAAGGAGATAAAGTAAAATGTGAATATTAAAGATAGGATTTGAACATCCAGGGTAGTGGTGGGGATTAGGTAAGACTTTTTTCCCCGTTTTTCTGTGGTTTCCAAGACACCCTGAATAATAGTTAACGCTGTCTTTTTTCTTTCTTTTTTTTTCTTTTTGAGATGGAATCTCACTCTGTTGCCCAGGCTGAAGTGCAGTGGCACAACCTTAGCTCACTACAACCTCCGCCTCCCAAGTTCAAGCGATCATCTCGCCTCAGCCACCTGTGCTAGGATTACAGATGTGCGCCACCATACCCAGCTAATTTGTTTGTATTTTTAGTAGAGATGGGGTTTTGCCATGTTGGCCAGGCTGGTCTCAAACTTCTGACCTAAGAGGATCCAGCTGCCTCAGCCTCCCAAAGTGCTGGGACTACAGGCGTGAGTCACTGCGCCCAGCCCTTAACACTTTTGTAACTAACAAAATATTTCAAAAATAAAAGTATAAAGAGAGATGACTATCTTAGAAATCATTCGCAGTTTTACACATAATATACACAGATGCAAATGGTACTTGAATCAGAAAAACAAAAAAAAAATCTTACTATTCTACATGATTTAGTGCCTGCTTATATGTATCTCTATAATTTAGCAATGAAATAAGACCTTAACTATTCATTAAAGATTTTTCTGACAGCTATATTAGCCTATCTATTGTGATTATTTTATTAGGTTTTACTAGCTCTTCAATATCAAGCAAATTTGAAAATTAATTTGTAGGCCATTTTTCTGAATAGAAAAACATTCATCTAAAAATGGAATCATATCTATTTAAAAGTCAACCTACAATAATTGTATGTAGTTTTATTTTTTAATTAAATGGTGGTTCTCTAATAAACAAAAGACCTAAACCTTATTTTAATACTACTAAAAACTTAGACCAGGGTTGCTCGAGCTCAGGAGTTCAAGACCAGCCTGTGCAACATGATGAAACCCCATTTCTACAAAAGATATTTAAAAAATAGCCAGGCATAGTAGTGCACGCCTGTAGTTAGGTGGCTAAGGCAAGTAGATCAACTGAGCCTGGGAGGTTGAGGCTGCACTGAGCTGAGACTGTGACACTGCACTCCAGCATGGGTGACTAAGGGAGACCTTATCTCAAAACAAAAAACAAAAACACTAAAACCTTAACTGAAAAAAGATGTTTTAAAAGTGTGTTTACTGCAGCTAAAACATTAGAAAGGACACTTGGGGAAAAGCCATCTTGAGAAATATGGCTTAATAAAGAAATCATTCCTCAATATAGATGTATCACTTCAGAGAACACAGGATTTTCAAAATAAAATCCACAATATTAATTATTGTAGTATTTTATATTTTATAAGGTTTTAAGGGTTTAAAGATCAAAAAATCACTTATTCTGGAAAGTCAAACTTCAAAAAGACAGGTGGGCAAAACAAATCTTACTCTTACATCAAATCTACTTAAATAATTGGTAATTTATAAAAATGAAGTGGAAAGATCAAAAAGTACTCTAATAAACACTGCCTATCAGCCCAACTTCTTGCCATTCATTCACAATTTCATCTCAGGTAATTTCAGCAAATGGCCAAAAAAATAACTTAATTCCTTCTCATTGCAATGAGTTAGGTTGGCACCATTGGTCAGATGCTTATTATTGTTATTTCGTGCATGTGTGTGTGATGGTGGTGGCATGATTTGATTGTGGAGGAGGAGTATTGCAAACTAACATAATGCTGAATTTTCTCCCAAGAGAAAAAACCTGCTCTGCTTTCACATTTATATCAGTGCATAATTAGTTGTTTAATTATGGCACATGATTCAGATAAAGGCCGAGTTTCAGGCTTTTTAAATATCATTGATTTTTCAGAAGAAATAAAATAATCCATTAAGAAATCAAACTAACTTTCGAAATCATAGGATCATAATAAATGCTAATATCACTTCCTGGTTGGATGCCACTGTCAACTCGGACCTGCGGGAAAAAATAAAAAAATAAAAGTAACTCATACGGTATAGATTTTTTTTTTTTTTTTGTAACCACAAATTTCATTTCTATAGAGAAAATGAATAGAGAATTTCAATCTCAAATAACATTTTACCTTCTGGAAAATAGGAAAACAACCTAAAAATACATAGAAACCAAATGATCTTGATCTGTTAATACGCAATGCAACATGTTTGTTGCTCTGTCACTGAATGAAGAAACTAAGAAACAGAAAAAAAAAAAAAAAAAAATGAAGCCTTCCTACATCACTATGCCAGGGTGCTATGGTTTTATGATGGCGTCTTCCAGCTGAAGCAGGGCATGGCATGGACGATGCCCTAGTTAACTGCACTCCCCACTGGAGCCTTCTGCCCGCTAGTGAGGCCCCTAGTGAAGCTGCTCCTCAGCTCCACTGGAACGTGGGCCTGGGCCTTTCATGTCTGTAACACTTTCCTTTTTTGCCTCACCCTCTCAACTGTAAAACACTGTTACTGTTAGTCTCCTGAGGCTTTAATGTTTACACAGCTTTTCCTATGGCTTTGCTGTGTAAAGTCCCAATTAGAGCTCTGATTTTGTGATTTTCGTGGGGTGGGGGGTGGGGGGATAGCACAAGTTCAAAATATTCTTTTGAAGAGGCTGATTGCTGTTAACCAGCCAACAAGTGAGTTAGTACATCGCTGATTCTTGTTTTCATTTCCCAGTTTGATACCAGCAGCAAGGCACAGAGGTTAGCCATGCAAAACTTTAAAAATGAGCAGTTACTGGGGACAGAATATTTATTAAATTATTAGAAAGAAGTTTTGGAATCTGAAGTATTTAAAAGCTAATCAAAATACTTCAGACTATAAGGCATATCCAAGGGGTCTTAAGGATGGAGGAACTGAACCAAAGCTGCTGGAACAGCAGGACTTTGAGGCCCAACATTATAAAGGGGTGGGAAGAGAAGAGCGGAAGCTCACATAGCCTTCCACCTGTGGCAAGAAGCCTTCCTAATAAACAGCAGCTCATCTGTCTGCAGTAAGGCAGAAAAAGGTCAACACAGCGGCTGTTAGGCCTTTAATATTTTAATTTAGGCAATTATCAAGGGACCACATGTAGAACCTCTTGTCTAGGATATCCACATGAGGGTATAATGATGGCTTTATTATAAGGTGACATCAGAAGATAAGCTATAGTTTCATTTTCTTAAATTTCATACTACTATTATTCTCTTTGTAAGGTTGTAAAAGGAACATTATAACATACCAGAGGGGCTTTTATTTCTGTATTTGCAAGCACAAACAAAAATACAGATATCTGTATTTGTATTCACATTCATATACAAAAATCTTAATTTTAAACAAAAATCATTCAGCAGACTTACGAAATATACTTGGCTCTCTATTTTCTGAAAACATATTTCAGGACATAAACTGATGTTCTATGAAATTCACAATGTTGACAAAAACTAGAAAAAAATTAATGGAGCATCTTTTAAAGCAATAAAATCACAATCTGCCTTCTCCCCACATTAAATAGCCCCAAAATAGCAACTAGCAATCAGGTTATATAACAGAAAAGATATCTGTGAACTTTCATTTTCTTAATTTTAGTACCAAAAAGTTAAAGAGCTAATTTGAACACTATGTCATCTTTAAAACCATAGCATGCTTGCTAATGCTGTGTTTAAAATGAGACTGATACAAGTTCTAAAACTTCTGAATTCAACTACATCCTACCATTTGCTATATAAACTGCTACAAAGCTAGGAGGAACTTTGATGTTCAACCCACAAATAAAATAACATAGACAATAAAGAATATTTACTGCATTCTCCTATATTTCCCTACTTAAAACTTCCGTTGCCTTAACTAATATCATTCTGTCAGGTGTTACCCAGAACTCTTAAATACAACTGTTATTTACTAATATTATGATCACAGAAGTTATGTCATCTTAACTTTAAAATACACAGGATAAAATCAAGATATATATAATCGAAACATATCTTTGTATAAGCAAATCAGTATTTCCAATTAAAAATTGCACTACAGTATGAAAACTATGATTTATAATTTACTGTTTATGCTGATTTTTCCAAGTAATAATCAGTTATATTTTTATTTCTTAACAACCAATTTGAAGTCACATCAAGTTTCCATTCCTCATTGAAAGGCTATACAAATCTCCACTAAAAAGCTTTAAGAAAAAAGTTGAATAAAATCAGAACCAAATTTCTGAGCAGAACAAAACTGTTGTCTGAAAATAACAAATTTACAAAATATTATGATCAAACATAAAAAAGGAAATCTTCACCTCTGCCATATAAATAAATTTCAGGCTTAATGAAGCATGTGAAAAGTACCAATCCTAAGTTAACTCTTAAGTATGTATTCTTGTGACCAAAAAAGATAAGAGCCAAAAATGGTTTTCTAAGGTAGACTGACTGCTCTAGTTTTCATAAGGCAAGGAAGAAAAACAAACAATAACAACCATAACAAAAACACCCAAGCACCTCTGTATGAGATTCTCAAACCATTGCTCAGAAACCTCTAGCATAATTAAAATTTCCGTCTTCAGTACCACAGTGGACCCTGTGAAACTATCAGACATCTCCCATCCTTCATTCTCAATTCACCTCTCCCCCTAAGCACAACTCCCAGCCCGCCATGTCTACCTGACAAGTGACAGCCCAATCTGATTAAATGCTTCCAACGGAGGGGACTCATGGGCTTCCATGACAGGCCAAAAGTGATCACCATGGAGATACATAATTACAGCTGTCAACGCATCTACTGTCCTGCTGACATCAATTTGATTGCTCCCAGCAATAATGATAGACAAAGCTTAGTGTGCACTCTCCTGCACCCAATCACTTTATCTATTCCTTGGTCCATTTAGCTGACATGCAACGTTCACACAAGCAAATAACAGCAGTAAGCAGAACATTTAAGGCATTTTAATTGTTTTCTCTTTCTATGGATGGCTCACAACTGCAAATGTTATTACATAAAACTCCTGCTGCAGCATTAATTGAAGAAAGATTTGGTGGGACGAAGACTGTAGGGGGTATAGTTTGTCCATTATCACTTGTACTTTCAACAGGTCTCACGTTTGAAAATTGCAAATTGCAAAAACTTGTGAGGGCAAAATGTTTGACATCCTGTTAGCTATTACAACATGGTGAAAACTTCTAACAACTAGAGTAATCATTATGAATTCTTATTTAATACTTCTTTTGTTTGATTAAAAAAGTGTTTAGATATGTCCCTATGATACTTGTTTTCTCATCTGCTACTTAACGTCACATAATGCCTGTTAAATCTTTACAATTTTTTTTCTGCCTTCTGGCTTTGAACACAGCATGGAGCCTCCAAGCCTAGAAAGGGTCAAATCCCTTTAGAAAGCACATGGGCAAAAACAATATAAAAAGTGAAATAAATCATATATCCAATAACATCTTCAGATTTAGAATTCTTCCTGTAATCTTTCACCATCTTCATGCCAGTAATCAAAATGAATAATATGAATATTCACAGACGGTACAGCCTTGACATCTACCAGCTAACATAATGTCATACATATATATGCACTTATTACCTTGATTAAGAGAAAGGGTATGCCCTTCTTCTTTTTTTGCAACAAAAACTATTTTTAAAATAGCTTAATATAGAAGAGCTATGGAATAAAACGGACAGTGATCACTTTTCTGGTATAAATAATATGTACTCCTTAAAGTCTGTGATGTTTAATAGAATGAGGCATACTGTTTGCCTTAATCTATTTGAATTAAGGAGTTGATTTTGTGCTTGAATTTCTTAACAAGTGACTATATAGCAGGGTTGGATTAGATTTATTGAAAAGATTAAATTGTAACACAAAATGTCATTTCTCATTCTTAGGATTCATGGTCTTCTTTATTAGAATTTTGGAAAGAACTGGGCACACTGTAAGCTATCATTTAGATCATCACATTTCTCCAGGCTTCCCCTGTCAACTGGATCCTGACTTTCTTGAACACCACAAAATACTGAAAAAATTTGTTTTCAACACAAAAACCATGATTCCCATGAATTTCACTTGTCCTTCAATTTACACCCTTTGGTGTTGACAGGCTTTAACATAAAAGTATGACATAAATCACGATTTTAACCCCTCAGCTGGTATTACAGCTTAATGACTTACACCAGGTAGATGTAATGGTTCTTGGTACTGAGACAATCTCCCAATAGACGGTAAACCAAAAGACTTGTAGGGGTCCTGAAAGTTCAAAGGAAAGGAAGCACAGTCTTTGAAATATAAATCAGCACAAGTAAGGTTAAATATTTACACAATGAAGAGGCATTTATAGGTCTATTTTCAACATATGGTATTTACCAAATCACAGATTTCAGAGTATTATTGTCTTTTACTCTAGACAACTTAGAATGTACTTAAAATCAAACAGAACTGTAAGCAGAATTTAGCCTGACCTTGTTCATACTTTATTGAAATTGGTAAAATTCCAACATTTTATAAAACTTCTTAGAATGCCTTGGGCAAAAAATAAAATAACCTAGGCCCTACATCAAAACATACTCGAGTTTAGAACAACAAATGTGGTACACTGAAGATATTTGCTTTCCTTCTCAAAACAGCTCACATATGGTAAAATTTGAGAATTTGGGTTCTTCAAATAAAAACCTGAAAAAAACCTTAGCACATGCCACTAGATATGTACTTCACTTGTAAATATATTAGATCATCAGAATAAACAGGTTCAGTGTCATAATAAGAATAAAAGTAATACTACTTAAAATATGAAAAAAGCAAGAGCAATATAGCCATGCCAAAACATATTTCTGAACGCCTTAAAAAATATTTCAAGCCAGCTTATAGTATTCTTAAACACAGACATTTATTTTTATTCTTGACAGACATTTTTGATGTCTAAAAGTAGAAACAGTACAAATGTTACCTTGCATTCTTGTTTTAGTCATTTGAAAAAGGCATTTGAAAGTATTGAACCAAGAGTTTATGAGTAAAACCCATAACTAAAATTATGAATTAAGAGTACATGTTTTACTAAAAGCTTTACAATTTAAATTTCAATTGTTATTTTTATGTAATAATAAAGGAGAAAATTATATGAAAACAAACTGCTGGGAAAAATTTTAAGTAAATATCCGATCAACAACTAATGTGTACCCAAGGTGGGCATTTTAAAAAACCCCACGGAAATAAATGCTACTTCTTGCTAGTGTTGTTTGAAAATAAACAAAGCAAATGCAAACAAAATAAAAACCATGGTCCATTCAAGCTCAAGAATATTTAACTAATGCTTTGTTGCCTCTTAAAGGATTGGTAGCTATTTCCCCATCTAAAAATACATGACAATTAACTAAACCCAATTCTTTAAAACTATCTGGAATTAGGTCAAAAAATAATCTAATTTTTTCTGGTTTAATTACAGATTACATAATCCAATAGTTGGCAACGTTATAAAACCCTAACTTTACCTTGTTGTTGGTTATACCAGGTCTCATGACTCTGGACACAACCACCATCCTTCCTCCCAACACCATTCATTTTACCTCAGCATAAACTCGACATTCAACTGCCCAGCCGTTGATAGGAATATCAGCTTGTTTGTGCCTGAGAGGGTAACCCTTAGCAACACGGATCATTTCTTGGACTAGGTCCAGGCCAGTAATGCATTCTGTGACAGGATGCTCAACCTGCAAGGCCAAGGTCTGCCAGTTAATATGTGTAGAAAAAGGTAAATAAATAGAAATAAACAAGAAAAATTAACAGAAGTTTTTGGGTAAAATGAGGTTAATTGTATGTGACATTTACTCATCTTTAACTAAAAAACTCTTGAGCTAGGTGAATAAAATAAAAGAATAAACACGATACACAAATCATAAGAAAAACTAATGCCTAAAAGCATTTGTAAACTATCTGTATTATTTTTCTCAATTTTGATTTATTTGTGGTCCGACAATATTTAAGAATTTTAATTTTGAAACTAATTCTTAACCAAAAAAACTATATAGTTATTTCACTGCAATCTTCGAAGTTGCTGATAATCAACCTATTCTGCTACACTTAACATGGCATCTAGAGGGGCAGCTTATGATTTTCCAAAGCACTAGTCCACCCTAAGTCTCACCTACTTGCATGCTTTCACTAACCTGTCCTGACAAGCAGCCAGATTAGCGTAATCTTGCATCAAGGCAGTGTAGCAGAAGGGAGCAGATGGATCCTTCAGGTTGCTTTCCCTCCACACTGACTTGGGTAATGCTTAGCGTGCACAATCGCAAAACAGAGCCAGTGCGATCGCTCTGCTCTCTCAGCAAACTGCTAACAACTACTTGGACTGATGCTGTCATGCGAGTTCCTGGCCTTCCACACTAACACATGAGATATGTATGTACAAAAACATGGTACACAAACAGGGATACATGTCAATATAAACTTGGTCGATCACTTAGAAATTCTTAACCTTGAGTTAAAATGAAGCCACTTAAGTCACTGGAAAAGAGTGAATTATCTACCTTTCATCTAAAACCTTGAATAAGTTATAAGAATTTAAACAAAACTTTGGCCACACCTGCTGTTTTGATGCCATTTTTTTCCTGTAAAAATTAAGTATGTTCTAAATGCACTTCACAATAGTTTCTTTATCATGACATGTCATATTTCATACACTCTGACACAGGAAAAGGTCAGTGAACAAATGAATTATCTTCCCATCTTCAACTACACTAATTGAAGGACAGGACTTAGTCATTATAATAATCTTGAAGCTTATCATAAGCAGACAATGCCATAGTCTTTAAAAAAAAGCTTTGTAAAAATAAACAGATGGTATCCATAATTAGCTTTGTGTGTGTTATGAGTTTGTTTATAGTCTCAACATTTTAAGACATTTTGACATAATTTTAATGACAAATCATCACTAAAATAAGCATCTACCCTTCATAAAACAAATGTAACACTAAATAAAGATCTTATTAGGTAGTTTAAAATACATATTTTTGAAAACAAATTTTGATTTTGTAAGAAACAAGACTCAATATAATATAACAAGAAAGTAACTAACATAAAACCACTCTATTATTACTAGAAACCAATTTCATGTGAGAAAGCATCTCAGCACTCTACTCAAGAGGTGAACCTGGATGGGGGCGGTGGCTCACACCTGTAATCCCAGCACTTTGGGAGGCAAGATGGGTGAATTACTTGAGGTCAGGAGTTTGAGAACAGCCTGGTCAACATGATGAAACCCAGTCTCTACTAAAAATTGAAAAAAAAAA